AAAACGCTTTAACAGACATATAAGAATGAATTTGAATAATTTTTTTTTACTGTTACATAAAATGATTTTCAAGATTCTGTTATTGTTGATCGTTACTTTAAACTGTATAAAATCCGCAATCACGTAATGTTACACATTTTTATGTAACTGCCAATCATGCAAATGTCCGCTATGCTGATGAAATAGTAAAGATAATTAAGCTTAAAAGTATTCGAGAAAAAATCCAAGAGCATCAAGCCCGAAGAAGAGATTTAGAAGAAATATTCCTTGATCTTTAATTTACGAGATAAGAAGGATAAAGATTTGCAAAAATATCACATATCTCTGATAACTTTACACTCTGAGAAATTTATTTTTGAAGAGGTCAATATGCGTAATTTTATTTTTTCATTCGCTTGACTTAATATATGAAATACTTCCCTCGCTGATTGGTAAGAAAAATAAGGATTCCTCCTATTCGTCTGAGTCTTCTGAAGAAACTGATTTGGTCAAGACAATTGTGATAAAAAAAAAGAGGCTAACCCTCATGCTTTAGTATCTTTGGCTAAGTAACGAAGGAAGGCGCGACCAAAGAAGGTTAAGTAGTTGGTAGTTTAAAATGGGCCAAGCCAGGCACTTTACATATTTTTCGATTAAAGATATGCCATATAATACATATTATTTAGCCAAAGGTGTAGAGCATAGTGCATACAAGTGTTTTTAATATACAGGAATTACTAAAACGTATTTTACATTTCTTATTGATAGATAAATCACTCTATCCTGTTCTATTTGTTTCTCGATTATGGTACAGATGCAGTGCTTCTATTCTATGGAAACGCGTTAAGCTAAATGGTATAGATGATCGAACTCGATTAAAAAAATTTTTAAAAATAGTACATAGAAAGGACGTAAACCAATTTATAGCTTGAAATTAACTCATATTAAAATATCAGACTACCGGCTTTCAAATAAAAAAATCAAAAATATTGTACACAGGTTCCAAAATATAATTCATTTAGATTTTGAAGGAAGTATGGAGTCTGAGTCTGTTGGGAAAGTTCTAAAGCTAATAGCAGAATCATACCCAAATTTGGAGTATCTTAATATATCAGTTTTAGGTAATTCATTTCAATGAAAAATTGATAAAGGTCTAATTGCAATCGCAGATTCATGTCATAAATTAAAATGTCTAAATATTTCTAATCGCACAGAGTTTTCTGAAATATCAATTTGCAATATTATTCATTTTTGCCCAAGACTCCAACAACTCGACCTTAGCTTTTGTAAAATTACTGATATAGCTATCGAAGAAATTACTAAATCATGTCATAATTTAAAATATTTTAATTTGAGGAGGTGTGATAAAATTAGCAAAGAGGCTGTAAATCAGCTCATTTCTCTTAATCCAAATATTCATGTTGAGAATTTCGTATCAAATCGAGTACCCTTCCTAAATAATGGAGTCTTAGATGTGATCCATCTACTTGCAAGACATCTGGGATTATCAAAAGATGATGCATCCTTAGATAATTTTAACCAGGAATTATCAAGGAGTTTGAGGGAACGCTGTATGACAAAAAAATATAGATTATTTAACCTGTTCTAGATATAGGCATTGGTCTGTGCCAGCTGAATTTTTTATGAAAATTTTATGCAATTGTTGAGGAGAAAGATTTGGAAATAGTGAAAGCCTCTCTCCAGTAAACCTAATTTTCTCTACTTCTATTTCATCATATTTCTCTAATATCACAATTGGATCATCTTCTAAGGAACCGTAGAATTCCTCAAGCTTTTAGAGTTGTGCTCTTATATTCTCATCAACTTCTTCTATCCTTTCTTGATTAGAATAACCAATAATACTGAGTTTATCCTGAATTATCACTATATCATCTTCTAAAGATAAAAGTAAATCAAATAATCTAATTGGTTTATCTGAAGAGGCTTTATCCCTTCTAAGTTCCACTTTTAGAACGGGATTGATATCTATACCAAGTTTCTTCTGTATCGGTATTAAATTCCCTACTAATTCTAACAACAGCTCGTAAGAATCGGCAAGTGTTTTCCCCATGAGCTTAGAATCTGAAGGCACTGCCAACTGATTTGCATTCCCACTAATATTGAGTTTTTCCTGAATAGCTATTATATCCTTCTTCTTATATAAAAACACTCCATATAATTGAGCAACTGTTTCAGAATTACTATTTGCCATGATTGCTATAATAAAGTAATATATTTAATGCGAAAAATTTAGCTTGGCTGGGTCTGGAATACTGATCATCATCCTGGAGTAGTGATCACCTACTAGCTCAGAAGATTTTTTTTTGATTTTAAATGATTATATCGACAATTATAACAATAAGAGCTCTAGAATCTGAGAAGAAAAAAGAGATACCAGCGTTTACGCAGGAGGGATCTGTAAAAGAATATTGTAAAATGTTTTCTCTATATACGATGGCTAATATGTCTAGTGGTAAATCTGCTGAAGACATTAAAGAAAAATTCATTCGTGGCCTATTACTTGCATACGAGACAGAAACCACTCCATGCGACTCAGGAGTTCCATTTGATTCCTTGATAGATAGGCTTATTATTTACGAAAAGAACAGACTAGCTGGTCTGGAGCAGGTTGAGAGGTGATCAACAGCTCAGAAGAAATTGCTGAATGGTCACATGCATCTGTGCGACAATAACCTTATTTTTTCTTTGCTAGAATATATTAATATATCTATAAAATAACCTTATTTTTCGATTGAAAAAATCTTCTAACTATATAAAATGTATACAGCTAATTTACTTGATCAACTTACATTAGAATTAATATCATTTATTCTAAAATATCTTTCAGATCAGGATCTAAAACATACTAGCAGTATAAATGATATATGGAAAAGAGAGGTAAATCTTGAATGGTCCAGAATATTCCTAACAGATTTTTGATTAGGATTGATATATGCGCTAATGCAAATTATATTAGTGAAAAGATTGTGAAAATAGCATATGCAAAAGACAATAGTGATTCTAGAGTAAATGAATTTCTAGGTGAGTTTTATACCACATTAGGAAAGGTCAATCTACGTATTATCTTAAATGCTGGTGAGAAGCATAAAAGCATACCCACTGAATTCATAGTTACTGAATCAGATTGGCCTAATCAATTTTCTGAAATACTCTTGGGTTCACTATAGATGCGAAAAAATGGTGTAAGCTTGAATATGCATAATTTAACACTAACAATAGGTACACTTAAGTGTACAATCTCATATCAATTCAGCTGATAGTTAAATCTGAGCTATGACTCATCTGACTAATAGTCTGGATCAATAAATATCAATATGTGTAATTTTATTTTTCATTAAATATACAACATATAAAACAGAATATTTAGCTAAAAGTGCTTCGCATAGCCCATTCAAGCATTTTTATTATACCAGAACTATTAGAACAAATTTTATATTTTTTAGCAATAGATAAGTCGCTCTATTCCACCCTGTTTGTTAATTGATTTTGGTATAAATATGCCGTTCCTAGCTTATGGAAATACATCAAACTAAAGGGGAATGACCTGAAATATAGGCATTATTTTCCAGATGATTATACCTATTGAGAAAGAGACCGTACTAGATGTAAAAGATTTATAAAAATAATGAATGAAAAGCATAAGTCAGCTTATGTTTCGAATGTAACCTATCTAGAAATTACTTATTATCATTCACTTTCAGATAAAAAAATAAAAAGTATTGCAGATACATTTCCAAATATAATTCATTTAGATTTCAAAAATAGTATAGGTTTTGGTGATAGAGCACTATTTATAATAGCAAAATCATATCCTAATTTAAGATATCTCAATCTGTTGGGATGCTCAAGAAATAATTAATAAAGATTTATGTGCAATTATAGGATCATGCCGTAAATTAGAATATTTAAATATTTCTTACTGCAAAAATATTACTGATAAATCTTTGTTTGAAATCGCAGAAAATTGCTATGATTTACAAGTGTTTCATTTTGCTGAAGCACGTTGGATTACAGATAAATCTATAAGTTGCATCTTAAACTCATGCCCAAATTTACAAAATCTTGATATTGCATTTAGTCGTGGGGACGTCAAAGATGCTAGTACTTTAATGCGGAGATGTTTCAATATAGAGTATTTTAACTTTAGTGGGGCTATGGCTTTGCAGAATGATGCATTGATTATAGCTATCATCAAAGGATCTCCGAATTTAAAACATTTAGAGATAAGTGGTAATGATATTGGTGATGAGGTTACTGAAGCGCTGGCCTATACTTATCATAAATTAGAATATCTTGATATAAGTTGCTGTGAGTTTGTTAGTAAGTCATCAATTTGTAATGTTATACGTTTCTACCTAAAACTCCAACATTTCAACCTCGGGGGCTGTAATATTACAAGTAAGACTATCGAAGAAATTGCTCGTTTATGTCTTAGTTTAAAATCTCTAGATTTAGATGAATGTAAAAATATTAGCAAAAAGTCATAGACTAGCTAAATCCAAATATTCATATCGAATTTGATGAAGACTACTGTTCCGATTCAGAATCTTCTAGCTCTGAAACTGAATCAGAGTCTGAATAATCTAGCTAGTCCGGAGTGGTGATCACCAGCTCAGAAATTTTTTGCTGGGCCACTCCTGTGTGACAAAAAATAAGTGGATCACCAGACAGGTCTTATGCGACATAATAATTTTTGCATATATATATATATTCGAAAAACATATTAACCTTTATTCTTTATTTTTTTTCCCAAACAATCATGAGAAAATGTGAAAGAATGTCTACAAGCAACACAAGACCTACTGTAAAAGTAAATATTAACGTCAAAAGCATATGTTGTGAAAGGCTGAGGACTTTGTAATTTCGAGATCTACAAGAACTAACTACCTTTGCGTCTCTCCGGTAGATCTCCATGTGAAAAGTTATGAAGATTCTGTTTACATGTGCTTTCATGAAGCTCTTGGCATCATACAACAATGCTAATCACTATTCTTATCTTCCTATCTTTTTTCCAGCAAGATATAAAGCATGTACTGGTATGTGGAAGTTCAGCCAACCTTCCCGCAAAAATATTCCTGTAAATAATGCAAAATAAGGTATGTATATGCCAGAAGTTGTGTATATATAAGAGCGAGTTTTTCTCACTATGGGTTCATGAATTTAGATGTCTGATAAAGCTAGTATTATTACTCTCAACTGTCTCATCCCCGGCGAGGAAGCAAACGATGTCTTTGGAATAAAAATATCCTGCGAAGAAGTATCAAACTCAAATGATAATCAAGTTTCTATTCTTGCGGATAAAATCAGAAACCGTCGTCTAGATCTATTTAAAGATACTGATTCGAGCAAAGTTGATTTTGTATATGAATAAGGCTGAAGCTGACAGTGTCGTAATTCTTAACTTAAAAAATGACAAAGGGGCTATATTGAGTGGTACATAATTGATGAAACCAGAAAACACAATTTTAAGTTATTTTAACGGCCAACCCGCGCCTAAATATCAAGGTGAAAAGGGGATCAATGTTATCGTATACCCTCCTACAAATAATTAAAAAACATTTATTCACAACATGTATCAGCGATATAGTCGTGCGAAGCGCCTTAACGGCCAATTTTTATGTATTGTAAGCCGACTTCCGGCAACGTTTATTTCATAAATAAAGTATTATTATTTTATCGAACGTACATCGCGTGTAATGATGCGGTTCATGTAATATCGGACTATAAATCTAACATTTTTATCCGAACCAGTCTAGCGTTCAGATGAAAAGTGTGAAGAGTCTTCACGGTTAGGGATTAGGTGATCGTTGCAATTTGGCTGATCGCACTCTTGTGAAACAGAATAATTTTCTCACATTTTGTGAGGAATCATGGTGTCACGTCTCACATGTATCATCTGTTGTGCCAATTGATTTGCTGACGCGTAGTTATGATATTTGGTTTTGAACAAGAAAATCGCTTTAAAATCAAAAAGGATTTTTTCGTTATATTCTATATTGTAAGATAAAATTCATTTATGGAGCTTATGTCACAGCGAGAATTTAAAGGTTGGGAAACTGAATTGAGCCCTGAATGCTTCAATCTACTTTCAATTCTAACTTTCCGTCGGAGTAAAAGTGACTTCTCATTCGATAAGTCGATCGAGCATACTGCGATATCCACGTTTGCCTCGTATGTTGCAAAAATCTCAAAGGACGAAGAATGGATAAAGGCCGCTTCTACTCTCAGTGGAGCGTTGAAAGTAAATATTTTTCTTAGTATTGTATTAACGAGAGAAGTCGGGCTTTCATGTCGATGCAACCACCTAAGCGGTTTGGCTATCACGTCAAGCTAGTTACGGGGTTTCGTTCTCCAGTGGGCTTCATGGTAATTTAGGAGTCGGGCTTTCATGTCGATGCAACCACCTAAGCGGCTTGGCTATCATGTCAGGCTAGTTACGGGGTTTCGTTCTCTGGTGGGCTCCATACTTAGGCCCCGGAATATATATTTTTTGAGTTACGCATTTTAACAAACTATTTACATTCTTATAAGAACCAAGCACAAACGGAGGAAGTTAAACCTTCTGGCGAAATATTGATCTAGAAAAAAAGGAAACGGAGGTAAACGAGGCTATTAAACAAAAGGAAATGGAGATAGAACTGGCAACGGTATGTAATATTGTAACATGATAATTCATTACAAAATATTGAGCATATGAAATTTATATGGTTTATAGGTACAATTTGCTGCTGATAATTTCAAAACGGGAAACGATGTACACATGATCCAGAACAGATCACGAACAGAATATGTGTCGAACTTGCATGCTCGCAAACGATTACATTCCGAGTTTTCAGAATATGAACAAAATGATGAAGGATTGTCGGGGTTATCAACACCGCCAAATAAAGTCAGAATATAATTTAATATTTTAGTTTTGGTTTCGAAAAAGCATCTTTTAACCCTTTTTCTACTTTTTGAATGTATACACAGATCAGAATCAGTAGCACGGACGTGGTAGAAACTGATAATTCAACATATAGTGACGAGTCCTCTCCTATTCCCCTTACGGATACTTCTTCGCAACAATCTGATACAAATATAAGAAAACTGGCATCATCTTTAACTGAAGTACAAATAGCCAAAGTTCCGAAGCCAAGAAAATACATTGATCGTGACATTGCAAACGAAGTCCTAAATATGTATCAGACGAGTGTCCTGCCGGGTGAAAAACTTATGTTTAATGGTGTAAATATATTGGATTCCGCGTTTTTAGAGATGAAGCAGATGAAGAAAACCGAAATGGCAAAGAGTCCACTTAACATTCGTGTCATTAATTTTCACAACCTCGATTGTACGAGATATATACCCCATAACTACATCAACTACATCGCAGATCAACTCCAGGACCAGAATAGTGAGGCTGTCAATTTCGCTTATGGGAAAAAAATCGATAAATTCATTGTGGACTGTGATGAACAGGTTCTGAACTATCTGGATAAATTTTACGAAGTGGGTGATTTGGAGACTTTAGGAAAGTGTTTGACTGAAAATCATATAGATATTTCCACTGCATCAAACGATCTTATCTATGTTCAGAACCTATTTCATCACTTTTTCTTTCTGTTTAAGAACGACTTTTTAACTCAAAATATGTCAGAGTATGAGTTTAACTCTTATATTTGGACGCCATTATTGAGGAACGCGTTTCTAGGAAAAAGTGATCTTAAGCTAAACTATGGGGAATTGGCACCTAGATCGTACGAAAAACTAAAAGGACTTTTAGACATTGGTGGCCGTAGTGCACCAAAACTAGACGGAAAAGGCTTTCTTAAGTCTTTGGGAACCGAAATCTTAGCTCAGGAGGACGGTGTCCTAGATACGAGGGGTAAAAGAAAAGGCGACTTACAAAAATTAGAATATTGTTCAAAAATTATATTAACAGCTCTGTTTATTGCGTTACCTTCTTCCGCTAAAGTCAGTGTTACAAACATCGAGACATATAGCATACAATCGAACGGATTTCGTTTGACAATCTCGGCTTCAAAGTATCTGTTCGAAGATATTATTATAACGATGGACCTGCAAGATGTGGAAGTTCCGAGGACTATTAAGGGGTTTTCAAATCTAGTAATGGCCGTAAAAGTAATCTTATCTTGGAAGGCACGTACTAGAAGAAATACGATGGCGTTCTACGAAGCATTAAAGATAGGTCATAAGCGTATAACAAATGGTGTTAAGTTTTCACCAAAAAAAATATCTTTAAGACAGGATCAGGATTCTGCATCTAGTCTGTAATGCCATCATATTCTATTTTTTTCTGTATTATTGTTGAAATCATTTTAATAAAGTTTTATGGCTATTGTCATGTATTGATGTATAACTATTACATATTTAAATAGTACAATATATCCATGGGGTGGTATTATTTTTTAACCAGTTTGCGGTGTGTAAGAAAAAAGTTTTAAAGTTTCAGGCAAAGTGATGAGTGCGATCGTGACGTCGATGGGAAATAAAATCACATAATCATTCTTTGTATACTAAGCTCTGTATATGCTTGTGTCTTGAAAGTGATCGGCGTTTCGAAACGTGGTTTTTTATGAAATTTTAAATAAGTCACGCAAAGTAATATGGTGTTTTTTATTTATCATCTGAAATTGGAAGGATCTGAGGGTCGGTAAAGATTTATAGATTAAATCTTTTTCCGCATTGACAATATCAAAGTTAAGCCAAGATGATATAGACCAAATATTAGTTCATACACCTCTGATTAGCTGTTATCTCGAACTAATTTAACCCGCCATTGGAAAATCCCTTACATGCATGTGAATATGCACATAGCCGATGTGAACCTTATATAAACCTCTGATAATATGCTTGTAATCGAATAAAAAAATGAATCCGATATTTTATTATAATATACTTGCTACAAATTGCTATAACAAGAGATATTCGCTAAAAACGCTATATATCACTAAAATTATTATAAATCGTCTATATCCGTAAAATGGCTAAATTTAATAGTTTAAATCCTGTAGTAGTGCAGGCGTTAAACAATCTGCAATATAGGTATAGTGGTGAAACACCAGAAATGTGGTGTTCTCATATTTGTTATCTATTTAAGAAACTTCTTGAATATAACCCAAAATACTTTTCGAAGAATGGATTTATCCAAATGGTTGAAAGGGAATATATAGATGGAAAATTTAAAGCTGGGAGACGCGATCTCTTTGAGATCCGCTCATTTAATATTTATTGTACTGTATGCGACTCCTTGGTAATTATTCGTGAAAATACCATTGAATGTGGCAATGATCATCTGAAGAAATGTATTGCTAGAATGACCAAAAAGAATCTTGCATATTCTAATCATATACGAAAGAATGTGAAAAAGGGAGTATCAATACTCGGTTCTAATGGGATTGAAAAGATTTACCAAACATATTGTTTTATATTCAGAAAAGGCTTGAATAATTATACTTATGAACAGGGTTGGGAATTGTACTAGTACGGTACTAGTACGGTACTAGTATGGTACTGGTACTGTACTGTACTTTCCAAATTTTAAAATTAGTACATAGTACATGTGACGTCATTTAATTTTGATTGGCTGTACTAAGTACTAGTACAATGTACTAGATTTTTTTTAGTATTAGTA